TGATCCCAGTCACTGTGGCTAAACAATGCTTCTATGGTGGTGCTGTGGGGGGGGGGGGGCACAAAAGAGTGGAAAGTCCAGCCCGTCGATAATGTTAAAAAAGGGGGAAAAATGCCTGAAGTGTAATTTGAAACTGTTTTTGTGACTGTACTGAAGTTACCCCAAAAAAGAAAGAGAGCAAAATACACCAGGAATGGAGGATGGATGCAGATGGGTGGTCCTCCCTTGCTACCAGAAAGAAACCAAAAAAGAATTTGGGATTTCCGCACCATTGGGGTCCCGCTGCCGGCCCCTGGAAGTTCCACTTGGCCACTTGCTTGAGCTAGGATGGGATGGAGCGGGTGAGTCCTCACAAGCCTCCCTTTTCCGGTCACTCCAGATCAGATATATGCCCTGCACTAGTCCCAAAAATACATGCAGAGCTGGAATCAATCTGGGGCCCCAGTGGACCCACTCTTCATATGTCACGAACGGTTAATAAGAGAGGGGGGCTACTTGCCTGATTCTTGAAGCACCCGTGGCTTTTCCCAGGTATGGCGACAGTGCCCCTACGGATCTTCGCAAATAGATTTAACCTGGTGCAGGGAGGCCCATACAGGCCAAGTGGTAAACCCACTTGGTCACAATCTTTACCTATGAAGCTAGCTAAATACCAATGGGCCTAGCTTAGTTGGTACGCCCCATGAACTGTTTATATACAGGCTGAACCAGATGAAACTACCGTAGTTGAATGAATTTTTGGATTACCTGGGCTCCTTCAGTCCCACAATGATATCTCAAGGTTGTCACCCTTTTTTTCCTTTTTTTTCTAATAGAAGTTTATCATTTCATTTCTCATGGAAAAGAGAGGACAGGAATTCCTCATAAACAACCCGGAAAGTACTGCAGCCATTACCCAGCTTCGGCTTGTGCTGGAAACCGGGTCCAGCGTCCCTGACTTTTCCCCAAAGAAACTTCTACCAAAAAACACTTGAAGCACAGGCTGGTGTAACCAGGTCCTCTCAAATGTCCAAAGGCAATCAGATTCAAAGGTAGCCCTTTCCTAGTAGCCAAAGTCAGCCGCTAAATCTCCTAGCTATATCAACAAGTTTTAGAAATTTTAGAAATTTTACTTACAGTCATCGTTCGTCTGTATTTCACATTTAACATATCGCCAGATACCTCTAGCTCATTATAGGTAAACCCCATCCAAATGCCACTTCCTCAGTGGGATCAACCACTTCTGTGTTTTTGCCATTTTTCATGGGTTGTCTCCGCCTCGTCTTCGTTTTCATGATGGTCAGCCTGTTTTCTCCAAGCACAGGAGTGGCCCGCCATTCTTGCCAAAATGTGTTCCTCTCTCTCTCTCTCTCTCTCTCTCTCTCTCTCTCTCTCTCTCTCTCTCTCTCTCTCTCTCTCTCTNCTCTCTCTCTCTCTCTCTCTCTCTCTCTCTCTCTCTCTCTCTCTCTCTCTCTCTCTCTCTCTCTCTCTCTCTCTCTCTCGAGTATATCTTGCTCCTTTTCCGCCACGTTCGAGCCTGAACAGCCCTATTCTCTGTTTATTCTACTCACATTTATACTACCGTTTCACCCTATTACCTGGTTCAGAGCTGTTCTAAACCTCTTCTCCTGAGTTCCTCTCTCTCTCTCTGTGGCATACTCAGTTCCACGCGGGCCCAGCAGGGCCCGACCAGGTACGCTAGGGGTCCGTAGACTATAGGATCTGTGTTGTTTCGACCCACAGTACGGGTCCATAGGGTCGGTAGGCCAGTTTTAGGCCTGAGTAGGACTGGTACCAGTCAGAGGCCCGGCAGGCCTCATTTCGGCTACAGGCCCTCGCGCGCGTTTTGGCGCCAGACCCCTATTTTGAGACCGCGCCGTTTCAGTAGGCGCTTGAGGCCCAGCCTCAGTTTGGGCGCCAAACTTTCGAGGCCCAGCCTCAGTTTGAGCGCCAGGACTCAGCAGCTGAGGCCGACCCAGCGCTGTATATAGCTGGGTCCGGCGTCAGTCACGGCATTCAGTAGAGGACTGAGTGGAGGCATACTTCGGACGACGGCAGTTCAGTAGTAGTCGATGTTAGGACTAGTCTTCCAGCGCTGGGCGCTGATAGAGTAGAGTAGCGCAGGGAGGGAGAGATGGTGATGGAGATCAGGGGACTTACCTGCATGGCCATCGCTCCAGCTTCGTCTTCAGCACGTCCGTACCTGCATCAAGGTGCCACCTCTCGCAGGTCAGTACCGGTTACAAGAGAGAGAGAGAGAGAGAGAGAGAGAGAGAGAGAGAGAGAGAGAGAGAGAGAGAGAGAGAGAGAGAGAGAGATCTTTCTTCTTCCTCCTCCGGTCCACCACCTTCCTCTTCCCCTCCAGCACTCTGACTTCTTCTTATCAGGCTAAGAGAGAGAGAGAGAGAGAGAGAGAGAGAGAGAGAGAGAGAGAGAGAGAGAGAGAGAGAGGGATTGGCGACATTGGGATTCGGACTCGACATTGGACAGGGACATTGTGGGGGACTATCTGGGAGTGGCATCAGCAACATTTGGGTTGACAACATTCTCATCTCCTCCCCCTCACTCTTCTTCGTCTCTTCCCTCTCCTCCTCATCTGTGTATGAGCTGTGCCTGGCGCCCTCGTCCTTATGTGTGACGCCAGGCCATTCACACCGTGTGATGATGATGATGATGTATGTCCAGTCAGCATTCCGACATTGATTGGGTCTGATCATTGGTATTCCAGTCTTCCGCTGTGCTATCTTGCTCTATCTATGAGAGGTCGGGTCTTGGTTCTGGTCTGTATTATCCTGGTATGCGACAGTTTGGTATCGGAGCAGACCTCTCGAAAGAGGATCTGCCCAATCAAGAAACCAACTTGATTGATTGATTGATTGATTGATTGATTGATTGATTGATTGATTGATTGATCAATGAAGTAGGGATTCGTCAAACTTCTGCAATATTTTTATTTCCTTCTGTTCTGCTAAAGTTGTCACCTTGATTAGTACTAATTAGCGCTAATCGGCGATTAGCATTCTAACCCTAACCAAGATTAACAACTAATTAACAGATTAAAGTTTTGCAAACTCTTTTTTTGTCGTTTTTTTTTTCTGTTGTAAGTTACTAATTCTTAAGTTCGAACTTTCGGCACTTGCAAATCCGATACTCTCGGAATTCCGAAAGTTTCGGCATTCCGCGAAATCCGCAAATTCCGCGAATTTCGGAATCCCAAAAATTTCGGCGTTCTGCGAAATCCAGGATCCGCGAATTTTGGAAATTCCAAAAATTCCTAGGTGTTACCTTATGGGACCTGGTACCTGTCTCGAGAGGCTTTTGGATGAATGAGGTCGGAATCACGGCTCAATTCTTGTGAATCAAATTTGGCCTGGGCACTGGTGACGGGACATCTTCCGTCTGCCGTCTGTCGTGGCTACTGGGACCTGCGATTCAGTATATACTGAATGCGCCAGCCGTACTTTGCCTCTCATCTCTTCCGAGAACGTGCTCGGCGGTTGTGAATTTCGCGGTGGCGACGCCGCTGGGACTGCGCTCCTCTTCGCTGGATCGTGCACGATGGTGTGACAGTACGCTTGATCGGTTAAGAAGGCCAGCGAGATGATGGACAGGCATGGAGGTCTTTTGATACCGTGACCCTGCCGACACAGGTTGCTGCGACGCGGATGCTGGGACGAGTCGAGTTGTGCTTGCTTGTGTGTCCTGTGCTTTGTTTGTCTGTGTTGTCGCCTGTGCAGGTACTTTTCTTCTGTAACAGCTTCTAGAAGACAACGCTGGGTTCTCCGCTCCACATCGTCAGAATCCACTTTCAACGTATGGCAGCCGTCATTCATCCTACGGGGAAGATGGATCTGCTGATCCACTCGCTGGTATCGGTTTTCTGTCAGAGTAGAGTTCGAAGGGTAATCAGAAAGGGGGTAGGTTAGTATAAAAGAGGCAAGGCTTGGGAATGGCCTCAAGTAGTGCGGCAGTATTGAGTTGTGTTGTCCTCCTGATGAGTCTGCGTGCGGGGCGGACGAAACACGTCGAGGATTTGGCCGCTGGATTGATGTGATGTGGATTACTGTGCGACTTTCTTTGATCTACTTCTGCGTGCTTAACGGAGCTTGGATCTATTGGTGTATCGTGTTTGCTCTGTTCTCATGCTAATGCTGTCTAGCCGGGCAGTTTCTTTCTTCTTCTTCTTCTTCTTCCAAAAATTCCGGTCATTCCGCGAATGTCGCGGGAACTGTGTCTAATCGGACTGAGGGTTAGTTCCTAGGAATTAGGTTATGGCAGATCTCGTTTTTCAAAAATCGTGACTTTTTTTTTTTTCGTTAAGTTATGTCGTAAATTTTTCTCGGGCCGTAACCTTGGAAATCGAAGTAAATTATTTCGCAATTTTCAACGCGGAATTCTTCCTACGAATTCCATTTTCTGAAAATCGGAATAACTCCGAGAAATTCCTTTCTGTAAGTTTCTGAAAATTTCCACGAATTTATACTCAAAATGTTGCGATTCGTTTTCTAATCCGTTAACGAGTGAGATTCGTTTCTTCAGATTAACAAACGTTTTTCAAAATCCGAATTTTACCATTTGTACTGCTTGTTATCTGATAGATGCCTCCCTAATTCTCAAATCGACAGATTTCAAAAAAAAAAAAAAAAAAAAAAAAGAGAGAGCTTTTTCTTTTTCATTTTTTTCTGTTGATTAGTACCCGGGATTGGAAATTGCAGTCTGGTTGTTTGCCTGTCTGCATGTTTTCTTTCCACCCCTCTTTGTACTACGGCAAGTGCCACATCAGCAAGTGACACATCGGGAAGTGCCACATCAGCAACCGCCACGACAGCAACTGCCATGTCAGCAAGTGCCACATCAGCCAGTGCCACGACAGCAACTGCCACGACAGCAACTGCCACGACAGCAACTGCCACGACAGCAACTGCCATGTCAGCAAGTGCCACGTCAGCAAGTACCATGTCAGCCGACACAGCACAGCTAACTGTCGCTTATGCTCCGACGCAGCAGACGCATCGCAGAACGAGAAGGGCGGGCAGCCGCAGCCGAGCAGCAGCTACCCCTGCCCCACCGCTCTGCCATGGAGGCACAGGGCAACCCCACGGTGGACAATGACGCATCCGGCAGTCCACGCGAGGTGTGCAGCGTGAACCCCCTGGTCCCACAGGTCCAGCAGGTGGTTCCCACTGCGACACCCGCGGGAGCCCTCGACGCTGCGCCAGTCCGGCAACAGGGTGAGACAATGACAACCTTTATGGCCCGCCTGTCCACCTATATGCAGCAAGTACAAGAGGAACAGCGACGCGAGGCGGCAGCAGAAGCCGCACGCCTCAACACCATTGCACGCGATGCGGAGCAACGGCGCTGGCAGCACGCTGAAGCAGCTGCCAACCATAATAAAGCTCGACGAGATGCCGCATCCGTCCTCATGCAGCAGGAATTGCTGATACCACCGTGCTCCAAGAATGGAACTTTGATTCGACAGAGACGCATACGGACCAAGTCAGCCCTCGCCAACATCATGCACCAAGTCATCCTCACTTGCAACTGGCAACAAGTGGAGTTGGCTCGGCAGGCACGTATCATTTCCAATTACAAGGAGAATCTCAGGAGTCTCCATGCCCGTCTTGAGGAACTGGAGAAGGTGGACGTCCTGCACAGACACATGGCATCCTCAAGCATCGATCCATCGATCTGCAAGCTGGAGGAACGAATGGATCACCTGGTAGCACTTGTCGGCAATTTGAACAGCTTCCAGCGGCCAGCGACCATCAGCCAACAAATGGCCGCAGTAGAAGCTGACCCGCGCCAGCTGCAGCAGCAACCACCCGGGACCTGCAACAGCATGCTGCCCAGACTGTACAAGATGTCGAAGTTCAGCATCGACAAGTTCGATGACGACCACAAGGCGGACCCCGTGACTTGGTGGCAGGGCTTCACCAACGAGCTCTCCATTCACTTAGTCCCGCCAGAATCGAAGATCTCAGCTCTTTACCTTTGCAGCACCAGTGCCAGCCAAGTGTGGCTTAACCACCTGGCACAAACCGAAGACGTCGAGGTAGCAAAACTCTACACCAAGTTCACTTGGGAGGCCATGACCGAGAAATGGAGGAAGCGGTTCATCGTCGACGACGCTCAAGACAAAGGCGCAAACCGGATCTTCACCATGCACCAAGGCAGCCAGCCAACACGCGAATGGCTAACCGAGTGGCAGAAAATTGTGACGATCCGGAATCTAGATATTCCATTCGTGCATCTCCGTCGAGAATTCTTCGAGCAGTCGGTTGAGGCATTGAGCACGGCCTTTGGTGAGCGCAGCTTGTACATGGACTTCAACCAGATCGTGGACAAGGCATGCAAAGTAATCCAATCCAATCAGTGGGCCGCCAACGAGCAGCGAACCCAACCAGATTTTGTGGAGAAGGGCAAAGGCCCGCGGACGCAGCCAGTCGTTGTTGTCCAGTTTGATGGACAAGAGAATGACCAGGCGCTGACTCACGAGTCTAGTGAAGGAGATGGAGTCAACGCCCTTCCGCCACGACGCGACAACAAGAAGAAAAAGGCGTTGACTCACGAGTCTAGTGAATCCGAGCATGTGTGTGTGTGTGCGTGCGCG